GATGTATAGCACACATAAACATCAGATTATCGGCCATTTATTTAGGATTAGACGTCTCAATTTACAGTTTGAAAATCATTTCGGACTAAAAAATATTTGTTACTTGGGTGTCAGATAGTAACTAACATGTTTCTCAAGAAGAAAATCAACAACTAAGTTTTCAAGTATTGGTCTTGAAGGGATTGTGTTCTATTATTTGGAGGGTTTCAATAGGGTAAAGCAGGTTCAGGGTGAGGCAGTAACTCATTGAAGAAGACATTATGAAGTGGTCGTTCGCTATTTCATGAATTGGCAGAAGTTAGAGTTCATCGGCTGGCCATTGGATCGGGTCCCAGTGGCTTAATGGTCTACGAGCTCACCATGTAACAACAAGGTCCTGGGCTCGAATCCTAGCGGTGGGTGTGTGCTGATGAAGAGCCTGAAACTATGATGAAACAGCTGTCCAGTACTCCGCGGTCTTTCAGTGGTTCTCTAATCAATGTCAGTTCATGATGAAACCCTCCAGCAAGTCAAGTATAAAAGTCGAAAATGCGTAAGAGAGTGACTATATCGGATAAACAATAAGAATGTTCACAATAAAAATGGATATGGTTTATGGATATGGATATCATTATACCACATTTCTTCAATGAAAGCTAATCAGTGAATTAAAGAATTGGAAACATCATCGATCACTATGTGCATATTGAAAAAAAAACATAGAGAATCTGAATGAAATAATGAAGTAAAACCTAATGGTTAGTTAACTTGTACGAGAAATACCTTCAACTATAAGAATTTCTCCTTCAAAAGCCTTATAGTGTGATATGATAAATCATACCTATTGTTAAATCTTCACAATACGATAGCGATCATTGACTACCACTGCGTGACCCATATTTTCGTTTCACCTTCCTTTATCATCCGTTACAACAGAAAAATGCATATGGTCTTATTTTGTTGGTAGTAATACTTTAATATCAACATTATTTTGATGTCTGCCGGATTTATACATACTGTTGAAAATAGCGATCTATTGTATTATTGACAGTTTGTTCTTGTGATATTCTTCCACAAGGATTGAAAAGCTTAGATACTAAAGTGTTTTCCTTCTTTATTACAACTATCATGCACTCTGCCCTCCTAGAATGGTGAAGATAACGCGAATACTGAGTTTTTCAAACCTCATTCCACTAATTTAAACCTACAAAAGGCTTTTCTGATGAATAAATCAGTTAGCCTCCAGTTCACTAAAACAACTTATTGCCTGATTACTTGTGAGTCATGTAAGCCCTCCACAGTCATTCAGCAGATCTTTCTATTTAAGTGTTGGTTTGTAGGGATTTGGTTGATTGGTTACAGGATTTCATCATGAGTTGACATTAGTTAGAGAACCATTGGAAAACCAACAGGGAGTACTGGACAGCCGTTTCACCCTAGTTTGGGACTCTTCGCCAGTACGCACCCACCAAAAGGGTTCGAAACCCAGGACCTTCTAGTTACAGTGCGAGCAAGCTCGTATACCATTAAGCCACTGGGACCCAATCCAATGGCCCATGAATTCTAACTTCTGTCAATTCACGACATAGCGCGACCCCTAGCCAATGTCTTCGGCAAGTATTTGTCCTCACACCCGACCTGCTGCATCCTACTGGTCATGAGTTCTCACTAGAACCTCAGGTAACTACCTACCTGAATATAGCAAGTCGCTAGTGAGCATCTCATCGATATTTAAGTGTTGGTTTGTAGGGATTTGGTTGATCGGTTACAGGATTTCATCATGAGCTGACATTGTTTAGAGAACCATTGGAAAAAATGCTTCACTGTGAAATTATTGTCGTACAATATTCAGCGTAGATGGCTTTCTTTAATAATCATAATTCTAATTCAAAGGCATTCTACCATTCATTAGTTACAGTGAATAGTATCCTTGAAATACGTCTGCCTAGTATTTCAGTTTGAAAATCTTTGCTATACAAACACTCTAAGTCAGGTCTACATTTTTAGACCAGATCATGATACAGTGACAGTGCGTTGATGTTTGTTGTTTTCTCAGCAGTAGGAGGTATCGGCACCATCTGAAGAAAATAGTTAACTGTTTGCAGAACCAGATTCATGAATTTTAAAAATAAGAGCCTGTAGGTATTTTATCTGCAACGTAGTGAGTAGTGAAATTATGGGCATATTTGATAGTCTGTCGTTTGTACAAAATACAACAAGCTTTGAAATGAGGTAATGACAAATGAAATTCTGATAAACATTTAGTAACTTATAGTTAATTTTCAAAAGGATTAGTGGGGAAAACATTTTTATTTTTAGTTATACAACCGTATTTTGTTATCTAGTCACTTTAATATATTTCGTAAACATGAAGTGAGCTAATAGTCAGTTTAACAATTTTAACCACTTTGAAGTTTGAAGTGGGTCATTAATTTAGCTCTTAGTCTTCAGCTGGCATTTAACTTTGGAATTACGGCTACTTTAACATTCTTGGATGTATTTTACTAAATGGAATCCCTAGATATGTTTATGTTTATAGTTTGTATAACCGTTGACTGAAGCCTTAAAGTCCATAGTGAATGCAATGCAGCATAGTTTTGTGTGTCATTCAGATTAGTGAATAGATCGCACATTTTACAGACAGGTTTGTAACAATGAACTCAAGACTAGGTAAACAATGATCATTACCAACGAGTAAAAATAACATTTGCTTGTTTGTTTTCCTTGAGTCTGGTGAACATTGCGAAAAAAAAATTCTTGACGTCTTTGTTTCTTCATGGTTAATACCAACCATTGTTTTGGCTTAAAATTTAGTTATTTGGTTAAGTTACAAAACAAATTATACTTTAATGCTTTGAATAATAACAAGAATTTATTATTAATATTTGAGGATACTAGTAGATTTTCAAAATTTTGATAGGATAAATCAAATCCAGCTATTGTCTATGGCTCTGAAACATGGCCAATACGAGTTGAAGACATGAAAAAAAGGTTGACCGCTTTCGATCATAGATGTCTGCGATCTCTTTCTCACGTTAGGTGGTTTAATACGGTAAGCAATGTTGACGTCAGGCGTAGAGTGTTGGGCAAAGAGGGAAAATCAATCGACGAGGCTATAAAGTTACATAGACTGAGATGGCTAGGTGACGTGCTGCGCATGCCTAACCACCGCCTACCCCGACGACGGGCATTACTAGCTGATATAGGTGCAGGTTGGAAAAGAGCCAGTGGTGGCCAAACAAAAACATGGCCTCATCAATCCATCAAATCCTTGACAGTTAAACTGAGTCAGGTAAGGAGATGCAGACTTCCGGGTTTGGGCCCTCGGGACTCTAGGAATCAATGGCTGGAGACAATGGGTGACATGGCTCAAAATCGTTGTCAATGGCCAGCGCAAATGTATTCAGTCTCTGTAATCTTTCATATTCCTTTCTACCATTACCCATTCTGTTTCACTCTTATACTTGTTAAATTTTATTGATTCCCTTCACTCATCTTCTTGTCTACCTCTGTGTGCTATTTGGAACGTGGGAACTCGAAGTGCTGCACTTCGGTGCCAAGTTCTATGTTTAATCCAGACAGACAGAGAAATCCAGCTACTTAGTGGTAACATACTAAACAATAAACCTGGGTATAAATTGATTGATCAGTAGAGCCTAAGCAATGTTATGCTTCTAGACGCTGGAATCGACACTGACTGAAGTTAACTAGTCAGAATTTCGCGAACTGATTTTAGCTTGCGGAATGTAACCGCCTCCCCTTTCCGGGTCGCCGACTTAGCCTGAGATCTTTACGGGCTCAGCTGAAATGAGTGGTTATCGATGTTCTATGCTGAAGTGAGCAATTCCTTGAACTCCGTCATGCTATTACCAAGAAATTCGATGGATGCGAACCAAAATATAACTGGTATTGATGCAGCCAGCGACATTATTGGACGGTTAGAAGACTTTCCATTGACCATGAATCAATCACAAGATACTAGAATTGATCAACACCTGTACAAACTACCCGCCATAAAGCAGATTTACCTCTTCAGAAGTGTATTAGACTTATCATAAAGGCCTGGCAAAAGCTGTTAAGTCCTGACTATTCACAACTTTTTGTATTCCCTTTAAAAGCATCTGACAAAAATGTAGATACATCTCTTAGAGCAAATACCGACTAAGCAACCTGTTCGTGAAACGTCCAGGTAGTCCCTAAGCTAGGTGGCTGGCCAACGCTTTGCACTCTGAATTCATGTTAGATAGTAGGAAGCAATCAACACGAAGCCGTGAACCTAGTTCCCATACTTGTTGGCACTCATTAGCAATGCGTATCTGAAACCTTTAAGGTGCTCATGTCCCGTCTGAGATTCAAAACTGTGTCATCTGGTGCTTCAGTCAGAAACAGCAACATTTAGCTGTTCGCGCTCACAACTGACCTCCTATAAGACTTCATTGGTGACAGCATTTAATCGCTAGGAATATGATTAAGAACTAAGATGACCAGGTTATTAATCAGCGTATCTACTATAGTCCTGCAGGCGGTCAACCTCTTGTCCAAATAACTAACAGGTGACATCTCGCGTTGCAGCATTAAGTGATGCAAGGTTCAAATCTCATAGGAGATATTAGTTTCTACAATGTTGCATATACTCCTTGCTGACAAGTGTCAACAAGTCACAGGTTTCGTATTGATTGTCTACAACCGCCTAAAGTCAACAAACCTGAGTGAATAAGTTTAACTTCCTTATAGTGACAGATACTTAGAACGTGTGTTTTTTTGAAAGCGGTTTTTCTACAATGTTAGTTTACCAAAGTAGGTTTATCATTTCATTAACATATTCAACAGGTGAGTGAGTAAATAATTATGAATTCATGCATATTCAATATATTTCTTAATCGTTTAACAGGTAAACAGCATATATATATGTATATATGTACATATAATACAATAAAATGCATATAACTCAACATATATAATGTACTTTTTTGTTTTACATTTGATTCCTTCCCTATCTTGTGTGAATAATTTGAGGCAAGGCTAAACATCAATGTCTTCTATCAGATCATTTCGTAAGTTTATCCACCAAATAACACTATGCATAAATGAATATGCACTAGAAATAATTTTTAAAAATGTAGACGAACTATACTCACAACTATCTGTGTTATTTATTATCTACAGATAGAATCAAAGTCTAAAAGAGTCTATCGAACAGAATATTATTAATGTTGATAATATTAACAATAATGATAATAACAATATTCATGATGCTAGCTCATTATAATTTGTATGCTAATCATATAAAATAATCAATCGTTTTTCACTACTAATACTGCTACTTTATCATAATGATAATAATTATTATTACTACCATTTTTTATCATAGCTGTATTTAATTATCTAACACAAAGATTGATTATATTATTTGTGCTATACCGACGGAGACAAAAATGAACTGGATCAGTGCTATGTGATAAAATTCAAGGGTGAAATTACACCTTTATCCCTAATTTCATTCTTTTATATTACTTGAGTCTTAAGTCTTCCGATTATTTGTCCGTGTGTGTGTGTATGATTTTCTTTTGAATTATAATCACATTCCTCTCACTAATGATATATAAGCATATTTATGTACGTATATTCTGTAGTTGGTTTGTAAGGATTAGTCTCGTGTTTACCAGTTGATCATGGATTGATATCAGTTAGAGAACGATTGAAAACCAGGGAGTACTGGACAGCTGCTGTGTCATCCTAGTATGAGAATCATTGGCAGTACGCATCCACCAACAGGATTCGAACCCAGTGAGAAGTCGTGACCAGTTAGGTCCATCCATTCAAGTGTCCAGATGGGTGTCCCACCGACAACATTGGTGGATGGTCGGGCTAAATCACGAGTTGGTAGAAGTTAGAATTCATGAGTCATTGAATTGGGTTACAGTGGTTAAAATGGTATACGAGCTTGATTGCCTTGTAACCAGAAGGTTCTTGGTCCGAACCATGGTTGTGAGTGCGTACTGCCGATGATTCCCAAACTTGGATGAAACAGCAGCTGTCCAGTACTCCCTGGTTTTCAATGCGTGATCAATTTGAATATATATATATACTATTTGGAAACTAATGTTGTGTAGGCATATTAATACCTGGCTATGGAGCATATTCTTTAATCAAGTGCGTACATACATACACACACAGTGTTGAACGATTTATCTCAGTACGTCATTATCTCAGATGTAAAATCTTTCACCTTTACAATAATGATAACAATAAGATGAAAAGTAATACAGTGACATCCGCATTAGACAATTCAGCGTATTTATTCGCCTGTTATAAGTTCTTAGTGTAACTACACTTACCGTTTACATTTCTAACAATTTGTAAATCTTAACCATCTTTGTCGTATATAAGCCTATTAGAATCGATAATTTAATCTCCTGTTAACATAGTCCAGCTCATTTAGTACTTTAAAAGGTATTCTCTGTTGTTTTTTTCCATGTGAGAATAATTTATATCAAACTTCAGCCACATGATGTTCTCAATATGCCTTTCTCATTGACATAAAATGTCAATTTAAGCGATGTGAAGTAAATTTATTTTTGAAACTTTATGAAGACCATTATAATTGTCATAACTATACAGCCTTATCTTAGTGGATATTCCCTACAGAAATAGCTGGAAAAACGTTGTTACTAAAATGTATCACATTATGATATTCTTGCATTATCAAAAGAATGTGTATGGTGTCCTATTGCTTTAGACATTCCTATCATCGTCCTGTACATTTTCTCATGTCTTACAGATATCTGATTTCATATTCACGTATTATATGAATATAAAGTTAACCAGGAAGTGAACAAAAGTGCACAGATATAGTTTGTTTAGCTGTACTATCACTAATAAACACTGTACATAAGATCCTATCAGAATAGATATATAACCATTTTTGAAGTGTAATATTTTGTTACTGTCGTGTCTCAATCACAATAGTATACATGTTTGTGTACCAGAGAAAGAGACACTTGATGAATGAGTCAACTCGCTGGAGAATGGTTTCAATCTCAGATTTACTTCATGAAAGGTGACCATTGAAGCTACATTTTTATCCACTGTATTTCTTGACGTACAAATAATCCATCTGAGAATTGATCACATTAACTCAGTTTTATGTATTCACTGTCATTTTTGAAGTGGTAAAGATACTTTAATAACAATCATCAGTTTTCTTCTTTCTTCCGTCTTTAATATACCTATCTGTCATATTATTAGGCTCCAAGCGGAACATGGGTCTTCGACAATTGATCTCCATTTTATCCTTCTCTCTTTAGTCTTTTTTAAATGGCTTGACGATTCCCCATAAGCTTTTATCTCCTTCTCATACGATCTCTTCCATATCCCCCTCAGATACACGCCTAACTCGTCGTTTCCCACTCAGGTTCCACTCGAATGTCTGGTGCGCAATATCAGCCAACGGTCTGCTTACTGTGTGTCCGATCCATCTTTATTTCCTTCTGCATATTAGTTGATCAACAGGTTCTTGATTTGTTCATTCACAGAGTTTCTTCTCACTAATCCGTTCTGGCCAGAAAAGGCAGCTATTGATAAAAGTTTGCAGTAACTTGTTGGAAGTGCTCTTTGTGACGCGTGCTCCAAGCCACTAAATCGTATAGAAGCACTGGATGTCTTAACATTCGTGCTGACAAATTAAAACCTTGTTCTTTGTGCTGAGGCTGATTTCAGATTAGTGAACTCCTGTTTAACATTTGAGACCCTAAATTTGACATCCTGTTGTTGGAACTATGCTGCCTGTTTGTCTGTTTATTATAATTTCACTTTCTTCTACTAACCAATGAAAAATATTAGCGACCTATACATCTTATCCTGTATATGTCCATCCGTCTTTTGATTATGCAAAATAGCAACATTTCTTAGAACTAATTTCCATGTGTCAAAGATATTCCAACTGCTATTCGCTGAAGAATTCTGTGCAGAAGATTTAAGGTTTCGGGCTTCACATTTTACTAAATCAAATCTAACAGTATATGTTACCAGTTCATTGCTTACTGTCCCATTTCTGTTTAATTTCATCATAGATGTACTAATGGAATTAACCCTAACTCAATTCAGTGATTCAGGGATTGACTTTTTATAAGGGAATAATCTCGTTGACTTGTAACATGCTGATGCTATAGTTTTTCTAAGTGAAGATGCTGACAAAATGCTAGTCTTCTAAACACCTTGAATGTTTGGCATACGATTCGCTCCCGCCAAATGTAAGATGATGCTACGGGACTGGACTGAATTAACTCCTAGCTTAAAGATGGGGATTGAAGTGGTAGAGCGTGTTGACCACTCCACTTATTTGGGAAGTTGTATCAGCTAACACTGGCCGGACAATCGCTGAAAAAATCTCAGCAGGTATAAAGAAGGTTCGTTTGGCATACTTCAACTTGCTCTATTGGTGGCTTAGACATGATATCCGGCTGACGATCAAAGAACGTGTATACTGCTCAACAGTCCACTCCGTCCTCTTTTAAGGCTGTGAGTGATGCTTGGCCATTGAGAGTGGAAGACATGAAAAGCCTGGCTAGGTTTCTTTGATCATAGATGTCTACGTTCTTTCTCCCGTGTAAAGTGGTATAATAAGGTGAGTCATATTGAGGTTTGGCTTCGGTGGAGTTCTATGTAAAGAGAGAAAATCAATAGATGTGGCTGTGAAGTTGCATCGACTAAGACAGTTAGGAAAAGTGTTACGCGTGCATGCCTTTTCATCACCTTCCACGACGGGCAGTGTTAGCTGACATAGGATCAGTTTGGGAAAACGAAATCCACAATATTTAGTTTAAGCCACGTAGGAAGGTGTAGACTTCCTAGTTCGGGTCCTCGGGACGGTAAAAACCAATGGTTGGGGGCAACTGGTGAAATGGCTCAAAATCGTTCTCAATGGCGCAGACGCATCCACTCCCTGTGACTTATGATTTCCCATGAAACTATATTGTTCTTTGAAATTACTATTTTTTTTCGCCTCATATCTCTGTTTATTATCTCTGTTTTGAATCTCTTTTTACTTACTTTTCTCGCTTTGTGTGCTACATGGAGTATGGCAACTCGAATTGCTGCACATCGATGCAAAGTTCTGTGTTCAAACCAGTCAGTCAGTCAGTCAGTTACTGGTTCACTAATAATTTTCTCTGTGTGAATAAGTTGGTTATATGTATCACACTGTCAGTCCTAACTCGGCAAAGGGTTTCTCAGTATCCTATCGATAAATCTTGTGACACTATTTTCATCCCCTCTGCATTAGGATGTAAATTTTAATAACTTTTCCAGTTTGATCATGATTAGAGATGTGTGCAGGTGTATGTACGTGTGTGATTTATTTACAAGACAGAAAGAAAGTGACAAATCAATTAGAAATTTTCAGATTTTCTCCTAATCTATTCCCCCAATTTGGCTTACACACACAAACACACATACCATGATCCTTTTGATTATTAGTGCACTGTGTAAAAAAAAAATATTCTGAAGGCTAATTTTCAAAAAAGAAAACGCTTTCCTTAATGATTTCTCTGTAAAGGAATTGGTTTAAAATTAGACAATTAATGCTTGATATTAACGCTCATTAAAACAATAATATTAATAATAAATTCAGTGATTATTCAGTGATTACTTTCATCAAATATGTATAATCCCAGGCCTCTTTTTTTATTCTAATGCCTTCTTCTTCCTATTTACTTTTATCTTAGAAATTACAGCAACGTCAGTTGAATCCATTGGTCTCTTTAGAGGTTGGTCTAAAAGCATCATATTATTACAAAATTCTGTATTTATTCACGTGCATCTCTTTCTTTCCCTCTGTGTCATTTGAATAGATTTGTGCATATTCATCAGTTTGTGTCTGTGTGTGTGTGTATGTGTCTGTTTGTTCGTGTAGACGTGTGTGTGTGTGAGCATGCGTTTATGCTGGCTGTCAGTAACAGCCTAACCACTTTCCTTTTCGCTATCATTTGCGCTTTATGTATATCGGCTTTATATACATTTTTATATATATAGAAATCGATTTACATGAACCGGTGAAAATTTGCCCTAACGCATATACGCTGATTTTATGACTTTTTTTCTTGTGAAACACTCTGCTCCTAGATGAGATGAATATTTCATGGCGGAGGTTATTTTCCTCTCTTTTTTTAGATTCTAAATGACTTATGTCGCCGAGATGGTTTTGGTTCTCCGATATACAATGCAATTCCAATTGATTTCATTGACCCAACGACAGGAAATAAGGTGCAACTATATGTTGGACAGGTAGGCTTCACCTTTGAATTAAACTTTTTTTTTACCTGAGTTGACCTTTTTTATTGTTGCTATGGTCTGCATGAAATTATTCCACTCCTTCTATTGTAATAAGTTACTGTATATTTTCAGTTCTACTAGACCCAATTTTCTATGATTTTCTGTGTTACCCAGAGAGATAATCTTAGGACGATTTTTCTTGTATTTGATGCGGCACGAATACAAAACCGTTTGATAGGTATAGTTAAGGTTTCAGTTCTGTTAACATTCTCCTATGTAAAAGTGTTCAGTTTCTAGCATTCTGGCGTTTATTGAATGTGTCTCCTGTTGGTAATAAAAAACCGACAGATCTCAAGCTTTTTCCACAGTCCGAAACCATTTGCAGTTTTATTATTGAATTCCAATCAACAGACAAAGTTTCGTCCAACCAATAAGTTAAATCCTTTTATATTGTGATAATTTAGACCATACTGTTATTTCAAACTGAAGCGTATAGGTTTATTTATAAAAAAAAAGAAAGTCTCATAAGGGAAACAGTGCTGTTAGATAGAATTAACACAGTTAGCTGAAAGTTATCAGTTTGTAACATTGTAGTGACATTTTATTGTCAGCCAGTCGATTATCGAATTAATTAGCAATATAACTGTACTGTAAACGTTTTGACATTGAAAAGAAAAAGTGTTCAGCAAAAAGTTACTCTTTTCGGCGATATCATTCTCAAGCTGTACAAATCGCAAATTTATAGTAATTTGTCTTGGCAACAAAAGGAATATTTCCAAAGATGTGTTAATGCAATTGTTAGTTTTGGACAAACAGATTACGTAATTTTGAAGGCGTTAATCGGTTAGAAACTAAAATAAAGTTACAAAAGTAGGTTGGGTGACGTAATCTAATTGGTAGGGTTCAATGAAAAAAATGAATGAGAGTCAAGTTAATAATCTGAGTAGAATTCACTTGAAAATAAACGAAAATCGAGTTAGCAACAGTCGTCATGAGCGTAGAGATTTAATAGAGGGTGGGGGTAGAAAATAATGCAATTAAGAAACAGACAAACAAAGAAGAAAGAGGTAAGACAAAATTACGTATTTGGTGTTAAGATAGACCAGGACCATTGTAGATTTAGTGACTGAACAAACTTCTTTTGTATGCAGAGTTCAGGATTCATTGACATTGATTAATAAAGCTGACTTCTGTGTGGATAGAATTAGTCTCAAGACATGTTTATCCCAGAACATTACTACAGATTACAGCACTTAGGAATAGACCAATTTATGTGAAATGTACGACGTTTCGACAAATTATTATTCCCTTGGGTTCCGAATGGAACATATCGCTTCAGGAATACATCTCCACTTTGTTCTATTTGGTGCTGTCTGCTTCAGCTGGGTCCACGATTGACCAAAACCTCGCATCTCTCCTCCATGTAACCTTTGCAATGATCACCCTTTCCATTGGGATTCCACTCGAGCGATAGCCTGCATTGCACACGATGTCGTTTGACGGCCTCTTTAATGTTTGCCCAATACATCTCCATTTCCTTCAACATATTTGTTGAGCAATTCGCTCTTTCTTGGTTGGTTTTTTTCCAGCCAGACATAGTTTCTTGTTGCTAGTTCTTTCAGGCTAGCCATTTGATCTTCATTATGGAGTCAGTGAATGCGGTAGCTGTTGATAAAAGTCTGCATTAGCTTGCTGGGAATGTTTTTCGTGATACAAACGCAGTACAAGTTCTCGACTCATACAGAGGAGTTGAATGGCCTCACATATGTGTTTAAAATCCAAATTGTGTTCTTTATTGTGGCTGAGTGAAGCAGAAGATTTCGGAATTGACTTCAGGCTGATGAAGGTGTATCTCGCCTTTCCGATTCTGACCGGCTGGCTTTCATATCTTCATCCGCTCCACTAGCGGTGGTTGAAACTGTGCTTCCTAGATAGGTGAAGGAGGTGAACTCTGTCAAATCTCTCCTTTTGATAGTGATTGGTGACGGTTGTTGTTGTCGGTTTTCTTCACTACCTCTGTCTTCTCAATGTTCACCTGTCTTCGCTAGCGCCTTCTTCAGCCGGTTTGTTGGTTTTCGCCTGTAAGTCGTCGAGTTTGTGTGACATTAAACATAAGTCATCTGCAAAATCCAGATCTTCTAGCATCTTCTTATCTGTTCAAAGTATACCTGTCTTCTCATTCGCTACGCATAGTCTAACGCATAATCCATTCCACCGCAATTAGCAATATCATCGGTGATAATAGGCAGCTAGCCTTGTCTTATTCCTGTATGCACTTAGAACGCCTCACTGAGCTTTCCGTTGTGGAATCACCTGACACACGACACTATCATATAGCCAGCTGTTGAATGAGGATGGTAAAGACTTGGGCACTGCACACCATGATGCTGAAGGAGTTTCCAAATTACTTCTCGTTCTACGCTGTCAATGGCCTTCTCGAAATCAATGAAGATGAGGTGAGATTTTAACAACTATTCCATGCTGTTTTCGATGATGATGGTGCATACAGTTGAAATTTGATCAGCACATGATTTGTCTTTCCTGAATCCAGTTTGTTCCCGGTGGGGTACGGATTTCTGTATCCAGTGCATCTTTTATTCTCTCCAAGATGATGCGACTTAGTATTTTACTTGGCATAGAAAAAAGCATGATTCTGCGCCAGTTTTCACCGAGGCATAAGTCTCCCTTCTTTGATAGCCTGATAAGATAGGTTTTCTTCCAATCAGTAGGCATATAGTTTTATCTTATATATGAGAGTTTTACAACAAGGTATGATCATACATTCAACAAAAGCCACTAAATTACTATCATACATCTAGAGTGAAGAGAATATCGGTATACATACAGACATATCCTGTTTCACCATTCATATAATCATTAACTGGACATAGGATATCAACTGTGAAATTTTCAATTTATGGTTAAAACATTAATTTTGAAAAATACGGTTTTTAAAAATAATGTGGAATAATACACCATGTAACACTAAGTCACTTATATATATATATATATTCATATATTTGTAAGAAAGTCAAGCGTATAAAATTGTTAGTGTACTTTCTTATCAGATTCTAGCTTAAGTTATAATTTACATATTCAGAAATAGAATGTTTTCATTTGATGAAATACTGTGCTTATTAAATTAGAAATAGTGATGACCGAAATATTTGCTCAGGGAACTTATATATATATATATATATATATATCATAGACACGTGACAAAATGCACAAATTATTGATTTTCGTTGTTGTGCATTATAACACTCTAGATAAAACTGAACAGAAAGCCAAATAAATACAATTCGACATTATCTGTAGAATAAGATTAACATATTTCAACGGATTAACTAGATACCCTTTGGAAAAACTGGTTAGTAATATCAAAGGTTATGCAAGATAAAGAAACAAATTTATGAATGACATATCTATTAAAGTATATATATATATATATATATATATATATGAATTAAATTACTTAGCTCCTTCAGTCTTCAACGGTATTAGTAGATTATGATAAGCTGACTTGTAAAGTGTCACAGTGAAACTGTACTTTCATTAGTTCATCTGTGCCAACGAATTTTACTCCACTGGAATGTTTACCCAAGATAACTGTAGCACGAGTCCTGTTTTGGAATAAAGCAAATTATTATTGCTATTATTTAAAAAATCTCAGATAGTATTCTGGACTATAAAAATGCTGGTATTTGTGAAGCTGTAACTCGCTGGGTTGTGGGTTTGAATTTCATTCAACTTACAGAAATTTCTTCAACTATTAGGTAATAGTATTAACCTACAGTGGATAAGCGTCAATTACTGGTAACTGTAGAGGTATGCAATCGGTTGTTGGATGACAACAGAACTTGTACACTGTGATAGAGCATAATTCCATTATGAGTAAAGTTTGTTTTGATAAAGTCTCACAGTTTTATACAGTAATGTTTACTGATTACGATTCGACAACAATTTATTGCTCATAATCATATCAAGACACCACTCACACAACTTTCTAATGTGGATGACACTTTCACACACAGTGTTAAAAACAGAACATATCCCTTTCCAGCTTCTTAACTCACATATAAACTCACTAGTAGAGGGAATAACATTCACATTTGAATCGGAAAATGAACAAGGAGAATTAGCTATGCCAGACTGTAAAATAAAACGAATAGAAAAAGGTAAACTGCACAATAGCGCTTATAAGAAACCAACTCATTCTAATAGATACTTAGACTTTAATTCGTCTCATCCGTTGTCTGTAAAGGTAGGGTCAGTTAAGTCTCTAACAAACCGAGCAATAGCACCAAGTAGTACAACAAAAAACCTAATTGATGAAATGAAACAGATAGAAGAACAGTTGGTTTGTGTTGATTAACTATCCTATAAAATTCATTGTGAAGATCAGAAAAGATCAGAAGCAAAATAAAAATTATGTTGAAACTAATAATGAAAACATAAATGATAGAGAATATAAGGCATCTACAGTTTTACCATATAAGGAGGGGACATCTGATACCTTACGTAGGATTCTTAATAAGGCAGGAATTATAGTGGCATGTAAGCAAACAAACTCACTCAGATAGGACAGGATCTGTAGGTCAAAGGACCCTTGCAATGAGTGTGTGTGAGGTCAACTACATAGGTCAAACACAACCACACATTAGGGGGAGGAGAGGGTTAAAATTCTAAAGAGTAATCTAGGTAGGTGGAGAGAGAGGTTGATTATGGAATCCCTGTTCATCGAGTCTACACCAAATACATGCAATAGGAATGACTCATCACTCATAGCGGAAATATGGAAAAGACTACTACCAATCAAATGAAGCGATGGGAAATAATGGAATTATGTAAACGCAGTTAGAAAGTTCTGTGAGTAACTTGATGTGATTATGAGCGGCAATAAATTGTGCTCGAAACGTCATCAGTAAACATTACTGTATAACATTGTGAGACTTTATCAAAATAAATTTTATCCATAACAGTTGCTGGATAGTTCATTAATGCTTGAGATGTATTTTGCCTCATTGGGAACACCTGGAGTCTGTTTCATCTTGGCTTTTATGATGAACACGTCTGAGATTCAGCTATTGCGTGGGGATAGAAATTATTTTAATCTTCAGTCACTCCTGTTTCAACTTTCAAGATGGATAAATCTGTTGGTATTGAATGTCCCCTGAAGTGCAATTTTCAGAAATAGGAATGCTCATGATTGAATGCCACTGTATACTGTTTCACTTATCATTTGATCATTTGTGAATTATTTATTCAAGAAAGAGTATTCAAGGTTCTTTAGGTTAATCAGAAATCTTTGAGGTTACCTGGTTTTATTTTCACGAAATGAATTAAAAATCAAGATTATGCTCTTTTTAACCTATTATATTTATTAATCACTAGTATCCAACTAATTTCGTTTGACAGGTTTATATTCCTCATCTACAATTTCGTTGTCATACAACTCGTTTTTATGCAACTCCTGCTGAAGCGAAACTTGGTGCTTCTGAAGTAGCTATTCAAAGCCTTCCGTTCAATCTGTTGGGTTTAAATGAAGGTAATATATTGATCCGTGACTAGCCGATTTATAAATTTTAAGCAGAACAACTTGTAATACAGTTTTATGAAACTGTGTATCAAATGCTCAAATGTGTTTGAGTGCAGTACTGATGAATTTAGTGTCATAATACGGTAGACTAATGACTTTAATGCTTAAAAATTATTCCGTTCTGTAACACATTTTTTGACAAAGTGTAACTGACTTGTCTATTTTAGAGTATAGTCGTAGGAATAATGGAAGTCTTACTTTAGAAAAATATGTATGTTCTAAAATTTACCAATTCTACTACTTTTTCAAATTGAAAACTCTGTCACGAGTATTTTAAAAGTCTGGATTTCGTATAAAATAGAAATAGTGATGAGGGCTCGGTGCATGGACATAATTTTCAACAGACTATCTAGTGAGTCAACATATTAAGTATCCACTTGAAGTCAGAGGTGTTGACATATGGATTATGGCACACTTTATACAGAATATTGTCTAACTAGTATGAAAACTGATAGACACTTGTCAGATTACTAGGCATATTACTTATACGTTTTCTAGGATCTCACTGAATAATAACAGGTTCATTTCTGTTTATAAATCAAACCTTAACTTCCTTAGTAGCTCGTCAGCAGTGAGAATGTTATTCACTGTCAGAGCAACTTCAGGTTATGTAGCTCAAAATCAGTTATTTTACAAATCAGTTACTTGATGTTACATAGTGACAGATCATCTGAAATGTTTGTAAGAAACCCAAAGAAGCCAGGTAACACCAATATGGCCTATAAATTACGGTTGTATTCTATAAATTTATTAATAGTGGATGGTTGAGGCAGTCCCCAGGAAACCCTGAATTTCAGTTTTTCTTGTAGCATATATCCGTCCTCAAAGAAGTGTTACTATCTGCCTATAACATAATATAAAAATATACTACGATGGTGAGTTACTAACTAACATTGGTTGTTGGTATGAGATTCGACCATTTGACAGTGGGAGTGTCAGCTTGATTCCAACAATCGATTAACATTATGCGCGTTTTTGGCTGAGACAGCAGTGGAGAAATTACGCGTTCACATCTTACACATACTTTTCTCCTGAAAAAGATTTCTTGTTACCTGACAACACATAGTCAATTACTTTGAACCATCATGCTTATTTTTTTCACTACTGTGCTATTTGAAAATTCATACTACATTTTTTTAGTATAACTACTAACCTACTTATAAGTAATAAACGAGAATTTACAAACAATTTTAGAAGTTAGGAATTTTTATTCCCTCATTGGATTCAAAGTGGAATATACGGCTTTAATAGCACATCTCCATTCCGTTCTCTTCTCTGCAGTCCTTTCTAGGAGATTCTATGACTGTTCACAAGCTCCAGTTTCCTCTTTCCATGATCTACTCAGTGTCATCTTATGACGCTCAAGTGGTCGGTTTCCATTAGGCTTCCACTCGAGGAGCTCAAGTGCGATCTCACACAGTGAACTCTTCAGCATCTTATTTCCTCCTACATAATCGTTAGACAATATATTCTTGACCGGTTCTTACCCAGAGTTTCCTGTTGCTTAAAATTTCTGGCCAGTAGTATATTTAACTGGTGGTTTCTTCAGAAGGATAAAATTTTTAAACTCTATTAAGAGTTTTCTATAGTTTGGTTTGTAAGGGCTAGCTATGTTTTTACGAGTTGATCACGGATTGATATCAGTGTCAAATTTCACTTAATAACTATTATGATTTATATCAGAGTAACAGGAAAACCTCCACCGATCGATTCAAAATACTTTACCACAAAAAATTTAAAGCTTATTGAATTGAATTTTTGATTTTCCCGTCGATTGATTGGACCGAAGTGCTCGGTCTCAGGTTAATATGACCCGTTGCACAAGAGGTGGCTCTCGTGGCCCAAGTGGTCTAGTGGATAACGCTTTGGCGTTTGAAACTATGGGCACTGGGTTCGAGCCTCGGTGGGAACATCATCACTCACTGAGAAATGCAGGTACATCCAGCTGACGAGTCCCAAATAGGACGAAATGCGCATCCTGGATTCCACTGCTAGCCACCATCCACCAATTGTATAAAAATTTAAAGCCTTCAAACTTCTAAAGTTTTGATGATTCGTATTAATTTAAGATTTATTTGTTTGATTGTCTTGTATTGTTCTAGGTCAGTCTTCTAACAGTGTTATGAAAGTTCCTAATAGCGGAATTGGTGGCGTTGCCCTCGTACAACCCCCTGTACAACAAACAATGCCATCATCTACACGTCAACAGCCGATAGTTAATTATGACAGTCAGTTTAACGTTTGCAATCCATCTATTTCTACAGCTAGTAGTAATTACTCTCTAACTTGTACATCTCATAGCCTAGCAGGAACTTATGAGGTGAACACATCTTACGTACTTTCTTCTGCTCCAAATTCTAATAATTGTGATTTGAATACTTCTATTTCTTCCAGTATGAAGTCAGTGACAAACTCACGGCCTTACAGTTTTCTTTATAGCCCTTCATGTTCTATGATTCCGATACATTCACTCAATCTATCTTCATCATTAGGTTCGCCACACTTGTTTTATCCAACTTCATATCTAAACTATGCTAATCAGCCATATCTTTCTCAAACAAGTTCCGCTTATCCTCAGTTAACTCCACATATTTCAAATTTCAAGTCGTTTCCAGCAAATAATTTGAGTAATTTACCGACTCAGAATGGAAATAATTCATGTTCTGGTAAAAAAGCAAAACAAGATAAAAAATAAATTTCAAACAGTTTAAAGTTCAATTTTTGTTTTAATTTTTCAAAACGTTAATAAGTTAGTTTCAGTTTTGATAAAATTGTATTTGTTTATTAGCATAAGTTGTTTTAGTGAAATTAAATCTTACTCTCCCTTTCTACTTTGTTTTCATTATATTAAATAGCACTTGCAGCAAGTTATGCCCTGCCTATCAATCCGAGTGTAATACACTCAAATACAACATTTGTGCCAATGCAATTGTCAAACAATTTGCCTAATACATCCACTCCACTTAACCTATTACAATCTCAAACAAATATTCTACAGTTATCTGGTACTTCAAATTTTCCAATAAATAACAGTGGACTGTCAGCAATGACTGGTAGTTTGACGAATAATCATAATAACAATGTTCACCTACCAAGTGAATGTTCTGCTGGAGCATTAATGACAAATGGATTTGACTACTCTTCACAGCTTATAGCGGCTAGCTCGCTAGGAAATACCGGAATTATTAATACAGCATTCGGTAATCAACCAGCCTATTATTTTGACCCGAATTCCATTACAGCTACGGCTGCTGCAGCTATGCTGATAGGAGCGAATGGATTAGGTTCTACGACAGCAGCAATACCACAGATTATTGGATTACAACAGTCTCTAACTAACTATGGTGGTAATGAATTAGGACAAAACTGTTCTTCTTCTTCTGCTATTGGACAGTCATTGAACTCTGTGCCACAACCAAGTGGCTTATACACTCTAGGATTACAGATGACTGGTATTTCAGCAGCCATGCCATTACAGTCACAATCTACTGTAAATTCAACTTCACAAACAAACTCTATTATGAATTTATTAAATCAGTCATATGGAAATCCAGTTTCGGTGCTGAATGGAAGTTTACCCACTACACAGACTAATAGTGGACAAAATTCACATACCTCACAGTCGAGTTCAGTTTAAGGCGAAGGGGAAAATAAAACAAACAAAGAATCAAACACCTTTCAATAGGTTCTACGGTTTTGTTAGTTCATTTATTTGAGTCTACAAACTCTTTCTTTTTTCTTAATAATATTATCATTTTCCTTTTTCTTTCTTATTTGTTATCTTGTCTTTAAGTTGAAATGCTTTCCTGCCTTAGTGTCATATGAGTTGTATAGTAATACCAAACTTCTTTCATTGTCTTCACTTCTTTCCTCTCTATAAACTAGAATTACTTAGCAGTATACATCAGGTGTATAAAACAGTTGAAGTATTCACACACAATTCTTTTTAGTTAACAATTACACCTATGTATTTTGCTGCAATCCCTTATCTTTTTTCTTTACACTATTCTAGGTATTTACTAGCTTAACTCTTTCGTTCTCCGACTTTCTTTACCGTACCCTTGTTCCTCTCAATTGATCTGTACTAGTTGAGTAAACATTATAACATTGAAAAGTGTCAAGGCGCGAATATAACTTGTTTATGAAGTATTCATGAATTTAAGATGATATGCATATATAATGTTACTTCTTCAATTTACAGCCATCATATAAAAGTGTTTAAAGAACACAAATAATATACCAATCATTCTCCATCATAGAAAATACTTGTTAAACAAAACAGAGGCAACTATGGAAATATACCATAAATGTTTATACACCAACGTTCTTTCATTCATCTTGCTTGCATACTTCAGTGGAGTTTTATCTTTCACGCCTATAAACAACTTATATTTTCTGACATTTTTTTCTCTCTCATCTGTTCATTTTTTTCTCAAATATTCTTTATTGTTGTCGTCGTTAGCATCCTCCTCATTGGAAGCATTATTACTACAAGTGATATTATCTTCATTTCACCGATCACATCAATATCATCATGATGAATAACCATCACAACAACGCATACGAACCCCCTCAAGAGTCTAACGAGGTGACACACACACACACACACACTGTTATCTCTCTTTGCTGCTATTGTTTTTCTTTTCTTTTGTCTTTTATCTTAAAGGTAGTTCTATGCCCTAGTAAACACGGTGCATCTATAAGGGTATCACTTTTTTCTGAGTTAAATATTCTTTATATATATATATATATTTCATAATATTTTTTTTATAACTTACTGTGTTGACGTTTATAAACATAACTTTTATTCTAGAATATCTTTTTCTAGGGTATATAGACATATTCGTATTACTTCTCACAGTTTATCCTGTCGCTGTTATCTTATCATATCAGTGGCCACCTTAAAGAGTCCATGGAATTATTGTTAACACAGTGATAGTGTTACTTCATTCTTATCTGAAAGCTACTCTAATTTATTTTTAAAACTGCAACAACTTAAAACCAAGTAGAAGATATGGAAACACAAAAGGAGGAATATGGATAAATATGTGTAAAAATCAAAAGAAATTTAATATTCTTCTTTTATAGGTTACATTAATGATATTTTCTTAAATTACAATCATAGCAGGATATAACTAGAAGTGAACATAAACAAGTTGAAAACACTAAAATTATCCTAATCAATTGTGTACAAGTCAAATGCATTTTAAGCTGAACAAAACAATCTGTTTAACATGAATACCTGTTACTAAGTCAACTTTCTTTCTAAATAAAATAATGGTGATGATGATGACAACCATGGTTAGCTGAATACATGTACTGTCTGTAAAGTAATAAAGTAGTATCAAATATATTCTTTCAATTATATATTTTTAAACATCATAAAGTATGTGAAATTATATAATATACCTACTACCTGTTCGACTATTACTCATTCACGCACTCACTAGTCTACTTAAATTTTCTTCATACTGTATGTCGAAGTAAACTTGACGAAATAAAACTCCTTGTATTTCTTGTATTTATTTTTCCATATTCTTTATTATAAACTGACCATATATGGACATATATAACCGTATATTACATGTACTGTTCGTTAATGTTATTGTTAATGTTTTCTTTACACTTACAGTTATTGGATCAATTAACACTTGAAGTGATTGATTTCAATTTCTGATGAATGTTTGTGGTTGTTTTGTCTTATTTTTTCACTTGTTTTTTTTTCCAGTTTTGTTAATGGAATAAATTATAATATACATTTTTTAAAGCAGTTTTAAAGAAAAGGGGTCGCTACTGTTATTGATTATTATTATCATATATATATATATATATATATATATATATATATATATATATATATATATATATACGTGTGTATGTGTATACCGTATCAGTCGAATCCCCTATGACCATTTCCACAATGTTCCATATACTCACCGTCGATATTGGCTAGTGCCCGTCACGATATAATGACGAACTAGTAGGAGCTGGAATTCATGGAGTGTGTGTTTGAGTGGTCTATGAGAGCGCCTTTTAAATGAAGAAAAACTTGGAGTGGAACCCCAGCACGTGCATACTACTAAAGAGTCCCTAACTGGGACGAAATGGCTATCCAGTATTCCCTAGTTGTCCATTGTTTTTCTGACTAATGTCGATCCGTGATCAAACCTTAAAAAAAATCAATTGTTGAAGGAAGTGAAGTCATTGTACTTTACAAAGTTTGAGGTGAAATTTCACAACAATTTCCTTTGGAAATGGAAATTATTCAGATGATACGCTATATGACAAGCAGTAAATCAAGCATAGATGCATGACGGTATATAATACTGACTGATAGACATGAATAGTTGGGCACTACTTACATCAACTAGTAGTACCTGCTAGCCAGATGAAAATGATCTACACACCGGATAGTCTTTTCGCTAGTTACTGATCGATTTCATTAGCAAAGTACTTGGTTTAGCTGAGCTGGGAGAACCGCATCACTTCAAACTAGCCGATTTCTAACTAGCTATTTGAATGAATTGATAATACTGATAATTTACACAGTTCAAGATGAAATCTCATCATTTATTCCTTTGGATCACTTTAGCCTAACAAACAAGTACTACTGGTCAATGTGAATGGTGTTCAACGAATCATCACTTACAACCCTCAGTCATTAGCATCATGCAAATTCATTTCACTAATATATGCATATCACAACAAACGAGGGCAAATCTATGTGTTGAAATCACAGGTGGAAAAATTATACACTAAGAATGGAGCTATTCAAATTTTTGAACAACATTGCAACTAATACTTTCCACCAACATCTCAAAGAACATATTACTGTATTACTTTCTACACAAAAATATCAGTGTTCTCCTCTGAGATAGGGATTGTCTGCACTATCAACTTTCATTGCAGTACTTCATCGTGCTGCCAAATAATATTGTCTGAACAATTCTTAGTAGTGGCAAAAACTAGCAATAATTCCTAATTGATACTCTTCAATAAAGATGGAATTTTTAACTTATGTCAAGTTTATACCCACCTACAACTATGTGTAAAGGACACAAAGTATACTTAACTAGAATAAATGATATTATAAAAACCAATGTATTTTTAAACCATCTAGTTAGTAATGAACATACTAAAATACTGCTTTACGCATATCAACCAAGTTGACCGGTTTGTCTTTATCATTCCAGACAGTAAAGTTGATTTTTTGTGAAATTGAAAGAACAACCAACTAAATATTGATCAAAGTTATTTTCATGAGTAGTGTTTTTTCTTATAGAAAAAGCAAGTTCACAAATGATTATAAGAAAAAAGATGTATTTAATGAGCTTGTTAATCGATTGCATGGCAGTAATCACGGCCTACTTAATGAAGCAAAAAGAACCCTTGTAAATTAGAATTCGTGCTTATATGAGACTACTTATTCATACACACCACTCTTTACTAGAATATAACGATAGGCAATCAAATAGATAAGAAATAGCATAAATGATTTTTTATAACGTATCGAAAATCATGAGCAGCCTGAAGAATTTATGTGTTAATGAATTAAAAAACTCAAAAATTAAACCTCATTCGTCACAATATGAGTTTCGGTGGTCTTCAGTGGAGCTGCGGAGCATTGGCCTGGCCAATGACTCGGTTTTCAGCCACTAGTTAGCGTAAATAACCCTCACAATTAAAGGTCTGGCTCATTGCCAACGAAATGGTTACTTTTAAGCGACTTTAGTAAATACCATCACATTTTACGGTGATGTCCAGTATTTCTCTTAAAGTTTATTCACCACTCTGTCTAATTAAAACTAACCTGTTCAACGTGGATGGCTTCATAGTGTTTCATGAAAGTGTATTACAAGGCTTATCTTTAAAGCAATTAATTCCCCTTATGAATTTTGACAAAATAAGAAGAAGACATATTTGATCTGAGACGTTTAACCTATTGAGACCATATTTAGGACGTCTGTGATAAGAATCTCCGGAATGTGTTGCATAAATACATTACACGTTTCAGATAAATTATGTCTTCTTACTGTTCTGTCAAAAACTTATCCTGCCTTCATACACCTAGGAAACTGATGTGATGTGTAGTAGACTTGCATACCACTAAATCAGTTAATTAATACCTTAAATCCTTAGTACACTTAAGTTCTTCTCAGCAGTTTGAACTCATGGCTGAGTCAGTTAAGTGTGTCATTAGTAAACGAAAGTTCATGGGTTCAAATCTTTCTACAACTAATGTTTTTTCTTTCAGATTCACTTGTAACTTCTGTAAATTAGCATTTGTTTGCTGAATAAACCGAATCTTGCCAACACTTGAATAGTTAAAGCAGGCGGGTCAGAAATTTTGGCGTCTACCTCTACAGTGCGTCGGTAGCACAGCAGTAAGGTGCTTACCGACCAGACAGGTGGTCCGGGATTCGCTTTTCGGCTGATGTAATCCTTTACCTCGCTAAGCTACTAATAAGACTAATAAAGAAGGAAAGCTGGGCATGAGGCTACCAACCCCATCCCATAAAATAATAAGCAAGCATTGCTACAGAAACCCCAAGCCTCTAGCTTGAAGCCCTATGTTCCACTGGGAACGCAAAGGAATAAAAAAAGACCTCTACAGTCACATACTAAACATGCTGAGCGAAAGGAATATTTCCATATATATATTTACAATCACCTATTTTCTAGTTTCGTTCGGTAGATTAAAGTGGGACTGTACAATTTACATGTGGCCAAAACATTAATATTTTCAAGTATTAGTTTGTAAGGATTTGATTGGTTAGTTACAGGATTTTAACATAAGCTGATATCGTTTAGAGAACCAGTGAAGAACCTGGAAGTACTGGACAGCTGTTTCATCATAGTTTGAGACGCTTCATCAGTGCATATCCACCGCTAGGCTTCCAACCCAGGACCTTCTGGTTACAAGGCGAGCTTGTAGACCACTAAGCCACTAGGGTGAGATCCAGTGTGACTATTTGCAAAAGCCTTTTAAAGACTGCTACTGATAAAGATGGTGATGACTGAAGATGAATTAAAAGTCTGCGTCACAGAATTTCATAGAAGAGTCAGGAATATGATTCAATAATCACCACTCCTCTGAGCTATTAACTTAATTTTACCTTTCTTTGTATCTGGTAGGCTAAATTAAAGTCGTTTTGTATAAAGTACATCTGAAAGTGGATAACATTTGATAACGTTTCGAAAATACATACTTTAGTATACAACAGCTGAAAATACTTCCTACTTATAAATGTAAATTACCAAGTTAAGACCTTATTAAGTCTCAGTTTTTGACAGGTGGAAGTTTTGACCTCATGCAAGCGTTATTTATGAGGAAGTGAATTAAACCGACTATTCATAGATATCTATCGTACATAGACATTCTTGAGTTAAAAATAATTGATTGTCTAATGAATGAGCAGGCATTCGCTGGATCTAATTGTTCTACTCAAGTAAGATGCACCAACAAATCAAAACAAAGCAGCCTTAGCTAAATACATCCATCCAACAATTCACTTTTATGAGTCTTATTTATTATTATTATTGTATCCTTTAGTTCCTAGAGGAACATAGGGCTTCAGCTGCGCATCTCCATTGCCTTCTGTTTTCTGACAACTTTTTCACCCCGCTCCAGGTCTGTCCACATGCTTTCATCTCCTCCTCGCATGACCTCCTCCAAGTCACCCTCGCATTGACGACCAACTCGCCGCCTCCATTTCGGGTTCCACTCGAGCGATAGCCTGTCGTGTGATGTCACTTGATGGTTTCCTCATCGTATGGCCAATCCATCTCCATTTCTTCCTGCCTATTTGTTTCACAATCGGTTCCTGCAGGGTTGGTTCGCTCACTGCCAGAGATCCCTGTTTCTGATCTTTTCTGGCCGGCCATCTGATCTTGAGTAGTGTTGAGCAAAGACAACTGTTAATGAAGGTCTGAAGTTGGTTTGAGATGCTCTTGATGACGAGCTGGCCAAGTCTCTGATCCATCCGTATAGTAGCACTGACTGACTTCACATTGGAGTTGAAAATCCGGATCTTATTTTTGATGCTGAGTGCTGTTGACCTCCACACAGACTTAAGGGTAATGAAAGCCTGTCTTGCTTTTCCGACTCTGGCTTTGATATCCTCGTCAGTTCCGATAGCCTGTAGTTGAAACGATGCTTCCCCGGTAGGTAGGTAAAGGAGGTTGTTTCTTTCAGGTTCCTCCCATTTACGCTGGCTGATTGTTGTCTGTTGTTGTTGTTGTTGCTGTTGATGTTGGTTAGGAATCTTCATCACCTCTGTTTTATCTATGTTCACTTGAAGTCCTATCTTCTTTGGATGCTTCTTCTGCCAACTTGTTGCTTTTCACTTGCATATCTTCCAGTTTGTGGGAAATCACACATATATCATCATCGGCGAAGTCCAGATCCTCCAAGTCTTTTGTGTCAGTCCATTTTATGCCCGTTCCCTCGTTGGTTGCCGTTGTCTGTCGCATTATCCAATCTACTGCAATCAGGAAGATCATTGGTGATAGTAGACAGCCAGCTTGCCTCCCTCCCGTCCTCACTTCGAAGGCTTCCGTAAGTTTCCCGTTGTGGGTTACTTGGCATGGAGCATTGTCGTATAACTGTTGGATGAGATGTATGATTGTCGATGGGACCCCGTAGTAGCGAAGTAGTTTCCAAATGACCTCTCGATCGACGCTGTCGAAGGCCTTCTCAAAGTCGATGAAGTTGAGATAGAGAGGTGACTGCCATTCCAAGCTTTGTTCATTGATGATCCGTAGTATATAGAGTCTTATATTAA